CTTGTACTGTGAATTGATCTTTGATTTACAACAGTTCTGCATGCATGTGGAACAACATCGATAAATGTCTTCTCCTGCCTTCACAGAGCAGAGAGGGCTGTGATGACGTTGATATATATGTGAAATCAGTAGAAATTTCCTGATAAAGTTGCCACTTCTCAGCCTTGGAAGTCTTAGCCTGTTTTAAATTATCCAAGGTTGAGATGTTGCTAATGAGTGGTAAAGACATCATCTCTTAAGACTGATTTCACTCATGCAAAATAAATACTAGATGCAAATATGTTAATCAACCTTTGAGGAACTCAAATATTACTTTTCTAAATGGAAAAAGAAAAAGGAAAAAAAAAAGGTCCCACAGAACTGACAAATCAGATTATCTGGGCTTAAGAAAACTGGATAAATATTTTGTGAGCGTCAGAGCACAGAAAAGGTATTCAGTTGACCGCAGCTGCTCTCTCTAAACCCAAGTCTTTAGGAAATAGTACAGGGGACCCCAGATAGCTTCTCATGCTTTTGTCTTCTTAGTCTGAGACTCAAGCTCCCATCCATAGCTTTTCCTTGAGTTTGTCATAATGAGAAGGAAAAATGTGGCTGAGAAAGAATCTATGAGGTCAGCATGTTTTAATATGGGCTGGTCTGAAATTCTCTTTGTGCCTCACGTGGGTGTGGATGTACATGTGTGATCATGTGTGTTGAAGCCAGAGGTCAACATAGGGTATCTATTTTGATTATGCTCCACCTTCTTTTCTGAGGCAAGGTCTATCACTGAACTTGGGGTAACAGATTCAGCTAGGCTGGCTAGACAGCAGGTCCAGGGATCTTCTTGTCTCCAACTCCCCAGCCCTGGGACTGTACACATGCACCTCCCCACACAGCACTTTCTGTAGTGCTAGGGTTGAACCCAGGTCCTCACGCTGACACAGCACATGCTTCCAACAGAGCGCTCTCCCCAGCCCTTTCAAAGTCACTTTTTCTCTGGGATTTTGCATGGATGAGAACTGAGAGGTGAAGGAACGCTCCCCTCAGCTGGTCCGTATGTATAAGCCAGAACTGATCCACTTTAGGATAAGGAGCCAAGGAAAGTGAGAATAACAAATAAAAGGCAAAAGCAGAAGAAATCCCATTGACTGGGGATGAAGTGAATGGTGCCCATGAAGATTAGCCCTTTTCCAAATTGCAGTAAGCGCACATAATACTCCTTGATGGGCACAGCAGCCCCCGAGCCTCACCACGTTGGCTTCATTACTGAGAGGAGCCTCAAGAAGCTCCTCACGGCTGAGGTAGAAGGGCTTAGTGAAAACACACCACAAAGACCGGAGGGAAAGCTCTGGAAACTGCTGGATCATCAGATCAATAGACTCAAAGGTGACTAAGTTGGGTTGCTTTCTGCAGTTTAAACATTTGTGCAGGGACTATCCCCATGCAGCCTTTTATTGACAGCTCCAGATCAATGGTAATTTTTGATCATTTTCAACCTACATAAACCTATTGACCCCTTGGCCACCTTTGGGGCATTTCAAGTCGTCAAAAATAATCAGAGGAGATGGTGTAAAATTGTCAGACTGCTGAAGACTCCAAGTAGTTTCATGTGTCCACGAGAGCAGAGTTGAGAGGTTAAAATGTAGTTCAAATTGGCAGCAGGACTTCCACCGGCCGAGCATTCCAGAGGGTCCTGTCTTTATGCCTCATAAATGACACACTGATTTGTATCCCAGCTCTGACATGTCTGCATATAAATTTTAAAAAGTAAAAGAGGCTGAATCTCATCGGAACTACTAGGTGGGGCGATCAGATGAGGATTAGTTCCAGTAAAAATGTCTTCCCACCTTCTTTTACTGAGATGCTTTCATCATCTGCTGTGTAACAAAAGCAGATAAGCTTGTATAATAAAGACTATGGAAAGGCTACCAGTGTAGACAAGGGTGGCTAAGAAGAGGGGACGGGAGTATGAACTGATAACCCAGAGGTGAGTGATACAATGTATGGAGCTCAAAAGAAGCGCTAGGGACAGGTTGTCACCCAAATGGTAGAGAGCTTACCTTACATACAGGAAGTCGAGGTTTCAACCCAGCACCACAGAAAAGTGAGTGTGGCGGTGCCTGCTGGTAATCCCATCACTCAAACGTGGGAGAGGGGCACAGAATTTAAGGTTCAAGGTCATTCTCTGTTACACAGCCAATCCAAAGCCAGCCTTGGATACATGAAACCTGGCCTCAGACAACAAAGTTTAAGTTTAATGATTAAAATAATAGGAGAGGATCATGAAGTGGGAGAGGATGCAATAATGAAAATCAAAAAGGAAGGAGAGAAAAATGCCCGGTTGAAAACATCCAGAGAGGAAAAGGAGAATAGTGGGGATGGGGCGAATATAAAACCTGGAAAACATGAGGGAAAGTGAGAAGAGTGAGGGGGGGGCTCTTCAGAAACAACAAATAGCAAAAGAACTGTTCTTCAGTAAAATGTGGTTGTATTTATATAATGTAAGGTAAACGTAAACCAGATTAAGAAAGACACTATTAAAATCGCCCTTTACAGGACCACACCTGGAAACATCTGGGACAGGGATGCAGGAGCTTGAACTTGAGACACACAGGCTGAATTTCTACATTAGATGATGGAGGTTTTGAGGCGGGGGCATTTTGAAGACTTTCGCTTTCAAGGATCTGAGCCATAAATGTTTATTAAAGGAATCTATAATGAAATCAGTTCTGTTATTTTTTTAACGGTTGCCGGGAGTGTGGTGGAAGATTGAACAGCCGGCTGTTAATCATTAAGTACTCATGTTACGAAAAGTGTTTGGTAGGATTGCCATCTAGGGGCTGAATGGAAGTCTCTGCTAGGAAATAAACCGTAATGGAGCAGGTGCCACTATTGACAATCTACATATGGTTTTGCTTTATAGCCCACATGCTTTTCCAGTTTCTTGTGACAAAAACCGTCTCTAAGTGTGCCCCAGCAGCCCACTTTCTCATCCATAATCTGTTAGAGGTGATTCCAGTTCACTTTGGGGCCTCTGCTTTTATTGGCATCTATTACCAAATCTTCTGAACAAAGAATTATTCTTTTTTGCATTATTAATCTTACCCATGTTTGCCCTATTTCCAGAGAAAAGAAATCATTTGTCAGAAAAGACTGTTTGTAATCAGGACTGGAAGCATCGTCGGATTTAATATTCATTGTGGTCATCCTGGTTCGATGCTGTATTTATCTAAAAGACCAATCCAATGTTGTGGAGAAATAAGTTTTTAAATATTCATGATCTAACTTTTAATATTTTAAAAAAGAGAAATTAATATTTCTGTAAAATTTGTTTCAGAGTCTGGCCGCTTAGCAAATGTTTAAATATTAAAAGATTTCAGGAGGTTAGCGTGTAATATCATAATGGGACGTACTGAAACAGGAAAATTGACTTCACGAGTCTCAGATCCATAAAGGAAATTGTATTTCCTCTGCCCAGGTTTCTCACAGAATAAGAGAGATAGCTCAGTCAAAAACTTAAAACCAAGAATGTGAGAAAAGAATCAAAACATATGTCTATAGTCTTTTGGTTGTGTATGTTTTTCACCTTCATCCAAAATGACGTTTGGAAGATTCCAAATTAAGGAGAATTCCTTCCTCATAACTGTGCCTATGTCTTAGCCACCTACCCTGGGAAATAAATTCCTGTCCCTACCTTGGCCCATCAAGAAAAAGAAACACTTGGTAGACTACCAATGTCACATTTAAACATCTAATAAACCCAATCATTACAAGTAAATATCACTCAGTCAAAACTTAGTCATGATTGTTCATATTCAGTGGTTATGGTCCACATTAAAAATACCCCCTCTCAAAACCTGCCTGTGTGTGTGTGTGTGTGTGTGTGTGTGTGTGTGTGTGTGTGTTTACTCATGCATATATTGCTAGCCCTGTTGCAGGCATAATTCTTACCTTAAACAGACATATCCATCCAGCCCAGATTGGCAAGAACACCCCAGGGCCTCTCAGAATGTTAAGATTCTTAGCTCCAGTTAAGTTATGCAAAATATGTTAAATGTCTCTCTGTGAGCCAGAAACAAACAAACAAACAAAAGTAATTCTGCTATCCCTTTCTTCTTTTAGATCAACAAAGGCGAAATTCTCAAAGCCCAGATAACAGTTACTTTGGGTGCACTTCATGGTTTTAGTTACGCTGCTTCTAACAAATAGGAATAATTTCACATTTACATGAATAACAGGCTTCTCTGAGGGTGTTTGTACATTTATAGTTCAATGGGTTCATTGCTGTTTTCTTGTGTTTGTTTTATCAAATTTGTAAGATATAAATGCATAGCCACACACTGAGTGGGAGAGGCTGGGGAGTGGAGGGTCTCATGTATAAATAAGTAGCATGGCAGATTAGAGGTTTAGGATTGTTCCTGCTAAGTCTCACAAAGCCTTCCGATTAACCTGCTGGCCACTTCCCCACAGTTGCTAGGATGCAACTTGGGGCCACTGATCTTCATTAAGCAAAATGCGATTCTCATCATGGGCACCACAATTTGTTGGTTTCAAGCTCCAGAAATCCACAGGTCCCATCTGATACAACTTTTTCACATGTCTGAAATCATTCATCAGTTCAGTGGTTCTCAACCTTCCTAATGCTGCGACCCTTTAATATTGTTCCCCATGTGGTGGTGACCCCCAATCATAAAATTATTTCATTGCTACTTCGTAACTGTAATTCTGCTACTGTTATGAACCGTCATGTAAATATGTGATATGTGACCCCTGTGAAAGGGTTGTTTGACCCCAGCCCCTAACAGGGTTGTGAGAAGTTGAGAACCATTGCATGAGTTGATGTATTCAGTATGGACAAGAGCAAGCAGAAAGAACACTCACTGTCTCCTCAACACGAGTTCAAACCTTTGCTGTGTATCTATGCCATTGTTAATGCCGTGCGTCCTGACATGGCCATGCACTCCAGAGAATAACCTTCTATTGGCTTCTAAAGGATACCTAATTTGCCAACTTTCTTACAGGGAACAAGCCGTGAAGCCCATCTTTTTGGGTTAGAACCATTCACAACATACCACATGGGCGTGGTCGCTGTGAACAGTGCAGGACAAGCGTCGAGCCCCTGGACTCTGATTAAAACTTTAGAATCTTCCCCAAGTGGACTGATCAACTTTACAGTGGACCAGAGAGATAATGGCCGGGCTTTGCTGCTCCAGTGGTCGGAGCCAGTGAGAACCAACGGAGTGATCAAGGTAGAGTCCATCCTGCATGGGAAATCACACGGGTCATCTTCCAGATAAACAGATGCGCTCTGACATGCCATCAGGCCACTGGGAAGCTGGTTTAATTCTCCTTGATGGCTCCTCTAGGCACTTCAGCCTAGATCAGTGAAGAATAGCTGGGGAGGGGGCCTGTTATGGGCCCAGCAGTGTGCTAAGATTACCTCATTTAATCCACACATCAGCCCCACTAGGTGGGGCCCACTAAACTTCATGAGGCTCATAAAGGTTAAGTAGATGCTTCAGGCGATATTGCCAAAGATGGGGTGGGATTTGAAGCCAAGATGTCCCCAAAGCTCTGAACTCTGGATGACCCTAACCTTCCTGCCTCCTCAGCTGCCTACTTTAGGTTATTTCCTTAAGCCTTACCTAATTCACTAAGGAAGATGGATCTGTCTCCTAACTCCTTGACTCTCACACGTAGCCATGAAAACTAGCCTTTCAATGTCACATGTAAAGCCTCGCCTCACAACCTGGGGGTGTAAAGGAGATAGCATTCCCACAAACAGCCCACACTTGGAAGCTGTAAACCCTTACCCACCTGAGGTAGACCCACATCTTTTCATGTTCTTCCCAGGGCTGGCAGCGACTCATCCTCCACTTCTTCCCTTTGGCTTTCCCTCGTCAGTCCCTCCCAGGTCAGGATGGCAGAATCCCCAGCTCCAGCAGCCGTAACCACTGCCTGCTCCCATCGCTCTCCCCAGATGCTGGGGATGCCCGTGTCAAGTCCACATGGAACAGTTAAGACTAAACTTCTCCTCCTCAGCCCTGTAAGGAGAAGGAGACAGGAAATAACATCCATTGCTCAGGGCCCGGAGCCAGCTCCAACCTCCTGAGCTTTCTCCGGGCTGCCTCTCAGCTTAACTGGAGGCCCTGCAGCCAAGAACAGAGACTCAGAGGCAAGGCACATCCCACCAACAGGCATCAGACAAACCCTCCTACAGGGTAAGAGGCCTAAATCCCCAACCTTAAATGCTGAATCTCAGCTCTCAGGCCCTCCCAGGCACCAGAGCTTCCCCCTCCACGCATCAAAGCTCTCTCTGTGTTTATCGCCCCCTCCTAGAGACAGCGTCTCCTGAGAATGATTGACAGGAGGAATATTGACTCCCCTTCCCTTCATCTGCATTTCACCAAATATTTATTGAGCTTCTACTAAGTGCCATGCACTTATTCAAGAGAGAACAAGACAGAAAAGGCTCCTGCCGTCAAGGCCCTTCCATGGGGATGAATAAATGCAGGGAGAGTGTTCAGTCAAAGAGGGGCAGAGGCACAAACAGTAAGCTGGTAAATAAACAGCAAGGGAATTTCAGAGAGCCATGGATGCTATAAAGAAAATTAAATAGAGTCGTGTAATTATGCCTGCTCAGGCTATTTTAAAATGGATAATCATTTGAATTGAGTTGACATTTGAGCTGAGCCCTGGATGACAAGACAGAGGCAGTCATGTGAAGATATGGGGGCAAAATGTTCCAGACAAAATGAACAGCAAACGCAAGGCCCTAAGGCGCAGATGACCTTGGTGTGCTCAAGGAAATGGAAGAGAGCCTGTGTGGATGAAGCCTCTAGAAGGAGGAAAAGATGGCACCAAGGGAGACTCGAGGCAGGGCGGCCCCAACCTTGTGGGCTGTGACAAGGAGCAGGGAGCTTGTTCAGGGTTCAGTGAAACATTACTGAAGGCTTTAATCAAACTTCTCACTCTGGCTGCACACTCCTGACCTGGGAGAGGCTAGTAGAATTTAGAGCCTATTGGAGAATTCAGGGTAGAATTCAAATGAGATGGTTCAAATCAGAGTGGGCATTATGAAGTCAAGAAATATGGGGCTGTTGGAAATGTATGTAGAAGGTAGCGATGAGACTTTTGTTAATGGGCCAGATGTGAGGCATGAAGGAAAGAGAGGTGGTGACTCTTCAGATTGCCTTCTGGGTTTTGACCCTGAGGTGTTAGCTAATTGGGAAGGGGAAGTTGGAAGAGGAGCGGGTTTGAGGGACAAGTAGATAGTGAGTCCAAGTTCAGAACGCCACAAGAAGACGCCGATGAGCTATGTATCCGCAGCCTGTTAGCGGGCAGCTGTGTTTAAAACCTTGGTGATGGACAGAATCACCATGGAGAGAACGTAGCCAGTGATGAGGAGATCCTGGGGTCGAGCCCTAGGGTGCCAGGAATTTGGAGGTCATGAAGAGGAAAAGTAGTCAGGGGAGAATGAAATGAGATAAAAGATGTTGAGGGAAGGGTAGGTGAGTAGTGCATGCCACACGTGAGGAGAAAAGAGGCTGGACGTTATTGAGATGGTAAGTGACATGAGAAGATGTGGACCTGGACTGGGGAAGAGCAAGGTCGCTGGAACCTTGACAGCTCACATGCTAGAGGAAGACACCTGAGCCGAGTGGCTTCTGGAAAAGATGGTGACCAAGAAAGAGACGGTGGCAGCTCCCTGAGGAAACTTAGGTGGGAAGGACAGCAGAGAAGTGGGACTGCAGCCAGGAGATTGGGGTGCTGAGATTTTGATGTCAAAATCAATGAGATACTAGAGCACACTGAAACACTAATGGAAATCGCCAGAGAGGGAGGGAGATAATAGGAATAATTACAGGAGTGGGGTCCTTAGAAAAGGAGGGGGATGGATGGTGTGGGTGGCCTGTAATTGGGCATAGATGCTTCAGTCATGGGGACAGAAGCCAAGATGACCACAGATACTCTTCAGCTTACCCTGGGATACATCCAAAGAAACCCATTGTTAGCTGAAAATATTATTGAAGTGAAAATGTATACTGAACACACAACCTCCCTAGTACCAGAGTTCGACCTTGCCTACTTTAATTATTCTCTTGAACACTTAAATTAGCCTATAGTGGACCAAAAATCATCTTACATGAAGACTATTTTATAATAAAGTATTAACTATGTAATTTGTTGAATACCAAACTGAAAGTTGAGAAAATGGCTGTTTCAATATGTCTTCTCAAGAGATTGTAGCTAAAACCTGGAAGTCGAGATACTTACAGTATTACATTAATACTTACAGAAGTATGTGACAGAGGCCAATTGGAGGAGAAGGCTGGGGGTGCACTAGAATGTAAAACATGTGAGAGCATGCCTTTCTAACTTCGTCTGCTTCTCGATGGAGTGTATGGGAATGTCAACAACCAACTCAAGGGAGAGAAAAGCTTGTTGGCAGGTAGTGGAGAAAGGATACGATATAAAATAATTACTTTGGACAATGAGAGAGCACACACAAAGGGGGAAATAGGGTTACTACTTGATAATTACCTAGCTTGATAATTTACAGACAAAGGTCAAAGTAAGACCAACCCAATGGTATTTGCTGGCTCTGTGTAACTACAAATGTGTGCTACAGAGGTTAAAATTCTCTGTGTGATGAGCACACATGGTTTGCACAGACCAAGGGCAAACACCACAATCAATTCTTCTATGACTTCAAAGAGAAAGCAAAGCATTTCCCTCTCCCATTTTGTTATTAAAACTACGTAAATGTGTGTCCATGTATTATATATACACATGTGACTATGTATATATACAGTTACATAACATGATGTGAGCCTGCACACAAACACATACATATACATAGAGATGCAAATTTTCAGCCATAGCATCCTGTAACAAGGACAACTAGCAATATCATTCCATTTCACAAGAAGCTCAGAAGAAGGCAGATTGTTCAGATAAACCCCAAGTACCCTCGTCAGGATGAGATCAGAAGTGTGGAGTGTCTATAAATGGGATATTTAAATGTTCTTCCTGCTGTTCAAGCCTCACAAGGGCTGTGTGAGCCATAGCATTCCCCGGCCTGAGGTTTGGGTCAATGCTTAGATTTTATCCAACCTCTTAAAGTTTTCTGTGGACTTTACATTAACTATGGCAGATCCCACTTCTAAAGTCAGCATTTGAATGCTAATGGATTAGGACCACTGGGTTCAGGCAGGCAGGTGTGACTGCTTTAGACAGCTATACCAAGAACCCCACACTACTGACATCCTCTTCTTCTCTTCATCCTGCAGGCATACAACATCTTCAGCGATGGGCTCCTGGAGTATTCTGGCCTGGGTCGACAGTTTCTCTTCAGGCGCCTGGCCCCCTTCACCCTCTACACTCTGACCCTGGAGGCCTGCACAGCAGCAGGCTGCGCTCACTCAGTGCCCCAGCCTCTCTGGACAGAGGAAGCCCCTCCAGATTCTCAGGTGGCTCCCACCATCCAGGCTGTGGAGTCCACCAGTGTGCGGCTAAACTGGTCTCAGCCAGCTAACCCGAATGGGAAGATAATTCGTTATGAAGTGGTTCGCAGATCCTTAGAAAGAGAGGACTGGGGGAACGGGACAGCTCAGGTGGGTGGGAACATTGTTTTCACGGAATACAACACAGAAAGGGACTCTTGGGCGTATAATGACACAGGCCTACAGCCATGGAGGCAATATGCTTATAGAATCTGCACTTGGAATTCTGCAGGGCACACCTGTAGCTCTTGGACTGGGGTAAGGTCGTTGCAAGCAGCCCCAGAGGGCCTTTCCCCACCTGAAATATCCTATGTGTCTATGAATCCCCCCAAACTGCTGATTTCCTGGATCCCACCCCAACACTCGAACGGCGTTATCCAGTCCTACGGACTTCAAAGGAATGGAGTGCCCCATCCTCTCAGTTTCAACGCCAGCACCTTCAACTACACCGACAGCCAGCTGCTTCCCTTTTCAACGTACAGTTATGCAGTCCTCGCCTGCACCGGTGGCGGCTGCTGTACCAGCAGAACCAACGCCATCACCACTCCTGAAGCACCTCCATCAGGAGTCAGCCCTCCAGTTCTTTGGGCCATCGGTGCTAGCCAGATAAATGTGTCTTGGTCCCCGCCATCAATGCAGAATGGAAAGATTGCTAAATATGTGCTTAGATGTAATGGTCAGGAGTACATGGCTGGGCAGGGCCTGTCCTTTCTGATTTCCAACCTGCAGCCTTTCACTCAATACAATATCTCCCTTGTGGCCTGTACAAATGGAGGATGCACTGCTAGTCAGACTGCATCTACTCAGACAATGGAGGCCCCACCAGAGAACATGGACCCCCCAATACTGCAAGTCACAGGCTCAGAATCAATAGAAATTACATGGAAACCTCCAAGAAAGCCACATGGCCAGATCAGAAGTTATGAGCTTCGGAGAGATGGAGCCATTGTGTATACAGGGCTGGAAACTCGCTACCATGATTTTACCCTTACCCCGGGTGTAGAATATGGCTACTCAGTGACTGCCACCAACAGCCAGGGAAGTGCCTTGAGCCCACTTGTCAAGGATCAAACCAGCCCCTCAGCCCCCTCAGGCTTAGAGCCTCCAAAGCTACATCCCGGGGATGCTCTTGAAATCTTAGTGGTTTGGGACGTTCCAGTGAGGACAAACGGTGAGATCATCAATTATACCCTCTTCATCCGTGAGCTGTTTGAAAAAGAAATTCGAACGATGTGCATTAATACAACACACAGTTCTTTTGATACACGGTCACTCACAGTAAAGAACCTGAAGCCATTTCACAGGTAAGGAGACAAGCTGGGCTTTCTGGAAGCAAGTCGCTGTCCTTTGTGTCGTGCTCTGTCCATGCCAGCGAGGCTCCCAGGGCAAGATGCATATGCCAGCTCCTGAGAATCAGCATCGACACACACACAGATGGGCTTGTTCCTATAACCTCACATCTGGTAGGGCACATGAGGGGTGGAGTCAAACCCTTCAGGTGACCAAACCAGGTAGACAGACTAGTTGAGTCAGTGAGCTCCAGATTCAAAAGAGACCCTGTTTTCAAAAAAAAAAAAGGTGTGGAAAGTGACTGAGCACCTTGTACCACTCTCTAGTTTCCAAACATACACACACACACACACACACACACACACACACACACACACACACACACACTCACACATTCATACACACAGCTAAAATATATCAGCCAGAAGTATACTGGACCAGTATCTGTCTAGAGGCTAGCTCTCCTTCATTCAAATCTAACACCTCTTCCTGGGATAATGGAGGCTTTGGGTTCTGTGTCCGCCATAGGCTGCAGAGCTCCCTCTGTTTTGAACTCCTGACTGGCCAGGTGGTATCACTTTGCTTATATATGCCATGCTGGATTCTGCCTGGCTTCTATGGCATGCATGGAGGTGCTCTACACCAATACTCTCCCGGTAGCTTCCAAAATTCTGAGCACTTTCCCTCATCCCATTTCAGGTAACTGACATCCCCCAAAGAAAGTAATAAAAGACATTTTGTGGGTAAAATTTAGTAAAATGAATAGGATCACTTATTTAAAATAAGAAATTGAAGTCTGCCCAAGTGTTGCTGTCCAGCCACTGCAGGTAAAACTCGACTATAATTATGATGTCCCAGTGTGCAGATTGGACAGGGCTATGATTATCTCTGGTGTATCGTGCTGTTAGAATGAAGCATTCATGGTCTTATGCATCTACTCAGGACAATTATTTAGAATCATATTAAATATTAAACAGTAATTAAAAGCTCTTCAGGTATTCTCCACAGCTAATCTACATGCTATGTGAGTTGGCTTTTATCTCCCTCTACTGAGGACATTTTAAAAGCCTACGTTGGGGTGGACCCCAGCATTTTGTCAGGGCTTCCTCTTTACATGACCAAAACACAAGTATTAAAATCATACCCATCCTGCCCCGCTCTGAGCCCTGATAGCTCAAAGGATTTCTGGAGAAAATGGCTTCCCAGATGTCAAAGTAACACTCTTTCTAGAGAAGAAGAAGAAAACCTGATGTGGCAGCCCTAGCAAGGCCTAGCAAGGACACTGAAGGATGCATGGAGAGGCGGCATCCTCCCTAACAGCTAAGCCTTGACACTGCTGAAATACATCAGAGTACCAAGGCTTTGCCATTTGATTTCTTGTCCATTTTGTCTTTGTGGATTTCAAGTCATATTGATATTTACTAGACACAATTAAAAATTAGTGTGTTCATCTCTGAGCACCCCCAGCTGGTCAGTAGGAAGCAGTTTGGAAAACTTTGAGAACCAGAAAGAGAGTGGCTCAGGACTTTATGTTTGTTTTTGTTGTTGTTTTAAGAAAGGGTCTCATGTAGCCCACTAATGGACTAGAACTCACTACATCATCAAGGATGATCATGGGCTCCTGATCCTCGTGCCTCTACTTTCCAAGTGCTAGAATTACAGGCTTGTGCCACCACATCCAGCTTGGTGTGTTTGTTTAAGGCAGGTCTTGTGCAGCCTGGGCTGGCCTTGAGTTTCTGGGCTTTTTTCCCCCACCTCCTCCGTGCAGGGACAACAGACATACAAGACTGCTCAGTGGTGCCAGGGATTGAATCCAGGCCTTCTGCATCCGCTCTAGATAAGCATTCCACCAATCGAGTTGCATCCCTCACTTGACCTAGGACTTCAAAACTAACCACAGATAATCCAGAAAAATCGTTCCTATGTGGGAAGTCAAAACCAACAACATTGCTTATCAGTCTGACCCACCATATGCACCGGTGGATCTGCTCATTGACCAACTGGCAAATGCCAGCCTAGAGATGTGTAAGAGAGGGGAGAGAGGAAGGAAATGGAAAAAGTCTGCTTTAGTTACATTTCCTGTTGCTGTGATAAAATACCCTGACAAAAGCAACTACCTTTTGTGGGGAGGGCTTTCATGGGTTCACAGATGGGTCCATCACGGTGAGGAGCCATGAGCAGGAGCTGAGGGCAGTTGGTCACACGGTATCCAAAGGGAAGTTGCAGGGTGAGGTGAGTGTCCAAGCCCAAGTCACTTTCTCACGTTTGCTGACTCTAGGCCCTCCAAGCCCAGGAAGTGGCATCACCCGCTCTTGTTCCTGGATGGGTCTTCCCACTCCAGTTAACGCACTCAACATGATCCCGCATAGGAATGCCCAGAGGCTAATTATCCCTCGCAGGTGTGCCCAGAGGCTCTTCACTTAGGTGTTTCCAGATCCTGTCAGGCTGACAGTTCATGCAAACGTTCACAAAGTCACAAAGGAAATGAAAAGCATAATTAAGAAGGCAAAAATGCAAAACGGAAAGCTATTGAGAGCAGCAGCAGGGACGGGAGGAGAGGAAGCAGAGAAGAGCAAGACACAGCTGGACCCCAGAGGAGGAAGCAGGGTCACCATGTGTGTGAGGGACAAGTGGGGTCGGGGAGTCAATGGGGCACGGAGAGAGAGCAGCAAGTGCTCCTGGCAGCCAGAGGCACTCAGCACTAACCATGGGGCCTTTGAGCTGGCAATGGTTCCGCCATGGAAATAGGCCCTTCCAAATGGTAGATACCAGCTATGAGACAAAACATAATTGATTAGTAGAGCTTGACTAGGTAGTGATAAGGTGTCTCTGTGATGGATAATTTAGTGTGTAGGGGGCTTAACTCTGCCCCCCCCCCAGAGGTCTTCATGTGAGCTAAGGGAACCTGTTTCAAGATGTCAGCAATCAGGTGAGAAGATTCATTACCACAGAGACCAAAACTCAGTGATGCCCCTTCATAATCTAGAAGCATTCCCAAGGAGTAGCTTGGCTCTGCCTACACAGATAGAAGGAGTCTGGGTCACATGCAAAGCTTTATTCTTCACTGCTGTCTTAAGTACCTTTTCATAGTACCAGAACTTTCTTGCTGAAGAGGAGACCTGGAGTTTCTTTACTCCATACATCCCTCTTTAGGCAAGAACTGACCACTTCCTAAACAGATGAAGGTCTTTCTTTGAGTTTGCAAATTGGAAGATTGAAACTGCTCAAAACTTTCCATAAAAATAAAACTCCATCCTTATTTAAAAGCTAACTGTTCATAAATATAAACTCCTTTTCTTTCTCTTCTAAAAACATGTGGTCTTTTAAAAATTTGTTCCAGAGAGATGTAAGAATCATCTGTGAGTCTACCTTGTTTCCTATAGGTATGAAATTCGTGTCCAAGCCTGCAATGCCCTGGGATGTGCCTGCAGCGACTGGGCATTGACCCAGACCACAGAGGTACCACCTCTAATGCAACCAGCCCCACATTTGGAGGTACAGACAGCTGCAGGGGGATTTCAGCCCATAGTAGCTGTGTGGTGGGCAGGACCACTTGAGCCAAATGGAAAAATCATATACTTTGAATTGTACAGAAGACAAATAGAAACTCAACCTGGGAAGTCCAGCCCATTGTTAACCTACAATGGAAGCTTAAACTCATTTATGGATTCGGAGCTGTTACCCTTCACAGAGTATGAATATCAGGTAAGAACTCTGTATGTCTTATAAAACTCAAGCTGAGGTGGTGAGCACCCACCAGAGGTTCGTTCCTTCTACACTGTTCCTTGCGATTCCAAAAGCCACTTAGTGAAATGTCATTTTACAGAGGGCTGTAATATCCTTTTGATTTTTCTAAGCAGTCAATGAGGGAGAAAAGACCATTCATATGCACTCTTCATTTCTTGGTCCACATGCTTGGCTGTTCTGTGGGCTTCAGATGGATCCTTTATTATGATATGGTTTCTACCGTTAGGCTTCCTTCTACCTGTGTTGCCTTGGTTATAAGTATTCCTTAAACCATCCTTAGGAAAATAACTCACATGTTGTAACAAAGCAAAATGAACCACAGTGGTAGACATCACCAGTCACCGTGCTCGAGGGAAAGATGAGATGTGGAAAGGAAGCAAAAGGTTGTACCTAATCTGCCTTTGGAAATCAAGAAAATTTAAAGACCAATACATCTATCAATCAGTGCTATTAAAATACTGCACATATCTCTTAAGAGACTAGGAATTAAGAATGGTATTCAGGAACTATTTTGAAATCTATGAGGCTTTATGTGAGGCTTTGTTTTGCCCTTGGGTCTGCATACACTCTTCCTGCAGCAGCAATGACATTTCCTAAGGAGGATGGATGTGCTGTCACACCGTCTTCTAGACAAGCGATGCACACAGGGTTACACTCAGCTGCACACTCACCTGGGGCTTGATTTTACCCATCTCGGAATTTTGAGAGACAAAGGTTAGAAGTCTTGATAGAATTACCCCACAGCTCACATTCAAAGTCTTTTTTCCACTCTGTTTCTAAGCACCACCCTTCCACGGTCCCTTCAGTTTTACAGGCGCCCATTGTGTCTCTTCTACTTAAGTGAGACTTGGTTTCTCAAGCTTGCAATTCAAAGAAGCTTGCTAATGGATAACCCCTGAAGGTCAGGCAAATACCAAGAAAAATCCTCAGATTAAAAAAAAAATATTAAACCCAAAAAGCTTATCAAGAGGGCTGTAGCTCATTGCTAGAGTGCCTGCCTAACAGACAAGACTCTCCAGGTTCTGTCCCTGGCACTGTGGGAATACAGCATGAGAATGTATGCTTGCAATCCCAGCACTCCAGAGGTTGAGGCAGGAGAATAAAAACCAGAAATAACAATAAAATTACCAGGAATGTGACAGACATGAAGAAGTGTGATGATTTGATTAGAGATAACATTTTATACATGGAAAGAATATCTCAGGACAACATTGTATTTTCACGAGTTGCCTGAGGAAGTTAGTATTGAAAATGTAAATCAGCTCTTGAATTGAGGATATACACAAACATAAATCCAAATTTATTGTTTGTAATTACAAATCTAAAAACTCTCTTAAAAGCAAGAGTGTTCTCTTGGTTAGATGCCAACTGTTTGGTTGCAAGACCTAATCAAAATAGATGGGAGGCTATTTATAGTATTTATTGACTTTTCCTACTTACATATGTGTCCACAGAAATATTGTTTTATGATAAGATAGCTACTCAGATAATGCTGGAGCAATTATAGGGTGAACTCTATAGGAGATACACTTTGTTACCTTCTGCTGGGCAGTGGTGGCACATGCCTTTAATCCCAGAAGGTGGAGGCAGGTGGATCTCTGTGAGTTCTAGGCCAACCTGGTCTACAAAGCAAGTTCCAGGACAGCCAGGGCTACACAGAGAAACCTTGTCCTAAAAAAATCAAAACAAAACAAAACTCTATTACCTTCTTATTTTAAATATGTGAGTGAGTGAGTGAGTGAGTGTGTGTGTGTGTGTGTGTGTGTGTGTGTGTGTACACGAGTGCCTGTGTGCGCACACACACATGTGAGTCCAGGTACCTGTGGAGGCCAATAGAGGGCACTTGATCCACTTGAGCTCAAGTTGCAGGCACTTGTGGGTACTTGGAACGAGCTCAGGTCCATTGCAAATGCAGTAATCACTCTTAACTGCCGAGTCTCCTCTGAAGCCCCTCAAAACAATCTGGAGGCACAGCAAACTGGAAGGTTGAGAATAGGATTGTGCCTTGTGTCAGTAAAGAGCAAGTACCTCCTTGCCGCTCTCAGAATCAGAACACTGTTAGAAAGGGCCGGGTCCTGCCTGGCCCTCCCTTTGTTCTTTTCTCATTAGCTTCGTGAGAAAGTGGGCAGTTGTCAAAGATCCCCCAGTTCTCCATTGGGGTCTTGATGGAACTGGCATGGGCTCTTTGGATAGCAGCAAACACTGAGATGTGAATATAAACTACTGATTACAGCTCCTTGGCCTGTGCTGTGTCACTGGGGTAAAGCAGGACCACATATCTGTAGAAGTCTTGGCTCCGTTTTAAGGCATTTACATTTGAGGCCTGTGTTGTGTCTCTAGTTAGGTTTCACATCAGGAGTGAAGGATGGCCAAGGGACCTACATCAGAGGCCAAGGTGAGTTGAAGACCTCATAGGGTGCTGTTGCTTTACTCCTGTTGGCTTTGAGTCACAGTCTTCTCTGATACTCACTTCTCCTTAGTTGTTGACATTGCAAGCGTGAGTTATCACATGTGACTTACTCTAGTTTGTTTTTGAGACAAACACACAGGGCTACAGTGAGGGTCTCACTGTAGCCCTGTGTGGCTTGGAACTCAAATGTGGACCCTGCTGGCCTTGAACTCATGGACAGCCATCTTCCTCTTCAAATGTTGGCATTCACATCAAGCACCACAATGGGTATTCATCCTTCTCTTAAAGAAGAGCCCTGCTCTGTACCTATGGGGGTAGAAATTAGGTCAGCATTCCCTGGGGAAGTTCCTGTCTCCATCAATCAGTGTGTTTTCCTTGTAACCCCCTTTTCATTCCCATCATTGTGGTTTTGTTTTGGTGTGTTTCTCTCACTCTTTGGAGGTTAAGAGTTAACACTGTGGAAAATAAGACTTTTGTGTTGAAGAAAGTTGAGTCATTTCCATTTCAACACAGCTCGTGGGGGTCTGAGATTCTGAAGGACCAAACACTGAAAGATAAATTGTAAAAAAAGAAAAGCACATATGATATAAAATCTGAATGGAGGGCATTAGGAAACGCCTGTTTGTATTTCACAAGGATGGGTAGGTGGCTTTGTGGAACAATTCCTGCAGGGTCCTAGTGCATCCAATGGTCCATGTGAGTGTCTGCTGGAATCTGAGTCTTAACCCCATACCTGAGTTTTCATGCCTCTGTGCTGAATGAAGTCCTTTTAGGAAAAGACTGTTCTTTAAACAGATCTCACATGGCTTTTATACAGAGCCATGGGATATCTACACACTCAATTGGCATTTTCTCCTACAATACCACTTTCTACTTTGAACCCTTCCCAATTGGACTGTGTTTAGCTATACTCTTTATACCTCAAACTTCTGTCAGAAAGTTCTTGATGAATGAACAAGCACGTTAGGACAGTGGTCTTCCCACAGGCCTTAGGAAGAACTTGGTGAGCCTCCCTCCTGAGCTGTCTCGGGGTTTTGCAGAGTTGAGGGTGGAACCCAGGGCTTTGCACATGCGAGCCGAGCAAGGCTTCCACCACTGAGCTCTGCCCCCAGCCCTGCACTTTAGCTTTTACCTCAGGGAGAGATGTCTGGCTAATGAGCAGCTCCAGGTAATTCTGCATTCAGATTCCTACTCTCGCTTAAGGCAATGACTCACCACGGAGTTGCTGGGGCCTGCCAGGGCTCCCTTTCACTGACTCGTGCTGACAGGGACTTAATTAGCTCTCCTGAAACTTCCCCACATTGACAGATTTTTGCAGTAAGCACCTACACACACTCAGAGGCTCCGTGGGCTTCTGGTGCCTGGTGACTGGGTGACTGAGGAGTTAGTTACAGCTTGGCCTTGCAGGAGATTTGCTGACTCACTGATGTGAAGGTCTGGTCTTGGGGCTAGGGCTGAGGGAGCCAGGGCATGCTGGAAGCTGCTACTTTCTAATCAACCAACATTGTTCCCCAAGAAGAGGATGGAGGGAACACAGAGGGGATTCTTACAGTCCCCACCAAAGGCAGATGGATTAAAAGCTACCAAAGTGCCAACGATGAGCTAGAGCAGGAAGGCAGGAGAGTGGTATCTAGTCTTCTGGATATTTGAGCAATTTAGCTTCTTCATGCCTTCCCTGGTAGTCTCAGTCTGCACTTGTTATAACAGAATGTCTCAGACCATGCTGCTTATACTGGGAACATTTATCGCTCATAGTTCTGGAGATTTAGAAATCCAAGGCCCAGGTGCCCATAGCTTCCATGTCTGATGAGGGACCACTCTGCTTTGTAAAACGCCATCTTCTTGTCATATCTCACAATGCAGGTGGAAAGGGAGAGGAAGAGGGCAGGAGAAAGGGGACACAGAGGGAGAGTTCAGTCTCCTCTCAGAAGGGCACCAATCCCATCTGTGAGGGCCCCATCCAGCAGGAACTCATCACTAAGACCTAACTCCAAATACCAATACACTGAGACCAAGGCTCAACATGTGGGTTTTCAGGGGCTCATTTAGCACACAGCATCCCATTATAAGTAGTTCTTCTCTCCAGCCCCAAGTTCTAGAAAGGGTAAACTATAAGAGTACGAAGAAATTCACATCAAGTTTTACCTTTTATTTATATTTATTCATTTATTTATTTATTTTGAGACAGGGCTCTGCTATTGTAGCCCTGGCTGGACTTGAACTCACCAAGATCTGCCTGCCTCTGTCTGCAGAGCACTAGGATTAAAGGCATGCACCACCGCACCCTCTGTTAATTTTACCTTCTCTTAATAAACCTATGTAATCTACAGCTTGTGAAACTTGACAAGATAAGCCCCAACCCAAAGGACTTTCATTTAACAACAGTGTTTAGCTTTAAATTGTGCTGATACAAATGAGACTGTGGGACCATCTTCAGGAAGAAAAAGGAATGGTCAGGTACAATTTGTCTCACTTGGCTTGGGTCCTGGAACCCAGAGGAAATGAAGAAAGGACAGGCAGACAGACACACAGACAGAAGGCTAGGGTC